CGAGAAATATTAAAAGTTTTATGAGTATGGATAAAAGGCATGGCAGAGCTAGTGCTTTTTAAAGAAGCAAGCACAATCAAAGCTCCGTCTCCTAATGTTAAAGAAAGCCATGGCAAGAAACCTGAAGATAGTTGAAGTGCATCCAAGCTGCGTGAGAAGGCAGCAGCTGACAGAATTAGCAAGCACATAGCCTTTGCTCCCTCAACAAGGCTTACACAGATACATAAAATTTCAAATCATCCCATGTTAGTTAGCAGGTAATACACAAAAAGGCAGGTTTAAAAGCAACTAACCCACAATACATTCTCTGGACATTTATGTCCTTCTGTGGTTGAGCTTTGGCCTTACTGCACAGATCTTGTTTATCCTTAGGAAACAGCAAAACAGACTAAGTAGTACTGAAACTACCAACTGCAAAACTGAGAAACTTGAATACACAGGAGCGTTGTCCAAAAGCAAAAATTAAAGTTTCACAATAAGGGAGAACAAACCTAACCAAACCGTTAGCTCTGTGAAGAAACCAAACTTGGAGACACTATAACTTCCATAGGAGTAACCTGCCCTCCTCTTATTTCCACAATAATTCCCTAAGGCTTTATACAACTAACCAGCTGCTTTTCATGTAGGTTTAAAAAGTTAAGAAGTGTATTTGCCTGCTCTCAAGCAGTTTTTCTCATGAGTTTGGAATTTATTCTTCCTTACATTTAAGGCCCGATGTTAATTCAGACACCCTTAAGCGCAGCTGCACACTGCAGCTGATTTTGCTGATATAAAGAAATTCAAACTTGCCAAGATCTTGTTCCAATTCAGCATCTCAAGTTACAGCAAAGAGTTCCCAGCAGAGTCACCCAAGAACTACAAAATCCCAATACAACTGGGAATAGTCCTATACTTTTTATACCAATGTATTTATTTACACAAATGTTACACATAATAATTTATGTATATTTAATAAGACTTAAACCAAGTATGTCCAAAACCTAACCTCTCTGTCATCTTCGGATTTCCTATCTTCCTCCTCTTCCTCTTCTTTCTCAGATTTCTCTAGCTCCTTTTGCTCTTCTTTTTGTTCCTCTACTTTTAGCTGCTTTGTCAGTCGAGCTATCAACTGAGATTTCAGTCCTTTAGAGCTAAGAGTTCGACTTTCTAATTCTTTGCGAAGGTCATTCACCTGGTAAATAAAAGCTTTGTAAATGGTATCAACCAGTGGCATTGCAAAACATTTGATTAGCAGAAAAGGTGTAGTAAAAATTAAGAACACTGAACAGTCAACTGTATTTTTTAAATCTGTACTGAAAAACACTAATATTTACTGATACATAAACCATACTACATTTGAAGTTGTGTTCTCAAAGAAGCCCTTTTTAAAGAACTTTCCACAGGGGCAGGGAAGACATTTTACTACAGCAAATAGTTTATTTATTATTCCCTTCAAGGAGACATTTAATTATGTGTTGTGCCACACATTTTTGTAGAATTATTGCCTTTTTAAACTAACATTGAAGTATTTTAGACACCACATTTTTTAATGCAAGTGGATGTGACCAGATTACTGCAGAACTTTAGTTTTCTAGTTAATATCTCGTATGTGATACCCTTTAATTGTAGGAAGTTCAAAAGCTCAGCATAGTTTCATTTAGCTGTATTCACTTACTATAATCAGGAATCACACTTGCATACTGTGATATCACATCCAATACCTACAAAATCAGCAAGGTAAAACACTACAGAAGTTTTTTGTAAGAAATGGAAGAAAATTTAAGAAAAGTGTTAGTTACCTTCATTGTTTTTGGATCCAGTTTAGACCAGTGTGTAGGTGTAGAGATCTCTTTAGCTTCCCCATCATCCTTTTCCTCTTCATCCTGACAAATAAAATTTAGAAATTATCATTCAGAAAGCTTGAAAGCACTTCAGTTATTTTTAAATTCTGTTGCTGATCTGTGCAAGGTCACAACTGTTTCAGATAGTCTTCTCCTAAAGTTATTATTTAGACAAGTTCACACACACATTCTACCACTTTATAAATGATCACAGTGCCACTCAGCCAATACAAGCCAGATCTGCGGAACACAAAAGGGTGATAAGCAACACCACAAAGAATATTGGGGTTACACAGACACTGCTGGTCTCCATTAACCATACAGTGTGTGATCTTCCCCCAGATTTTAAATCTCCCAAATTACTCCTTGTTCAGTCAGACCTTCCCTTATTCCAAGATGTTGATCAGCCACATGGCCTGAAATTCAGATGTTTCAGACTAGTGTTTGTTCAATTTCAAATATCACAATTAGAACTGGCCAGAGGAGAGAATTTAGAAATTTTAGAAAATGGCAAAATGTTTAAAGACAGCTATTCGTAACTGCATCTCACTCAACAACTGGTCCCAGATTCCAGCAACTACATCTATGATAAAAAATTTTCTGCGCATCATAAGCACAATTCAATTCCTTTTGTAGTATCAGCATACACATTTAAAATTAGTGAACTAGCTGTAATAAAAATAAAAACCAACATCCACTACACTGCTGAAAGCTGGTTTACCAGTCATTGTTACCAGTAATGTTCCTCCTATGTATGTATGTTGTGTAGCATGTGGTGTGCATTTTGTGCCTGTGTTCCTGTGCCTGTGAGAAGCAGAAATAGAAAAAGGGATTAGCGTTCAGTGCCTGTTCTCCATCAGCCTCCTTGCGTTCACCCTGAAGCTTCTCGACCAGCTGCTGCTTGTATCCTCGGGAGAGGGTTTCCCACTCTGAGCGGGTGGGAAGGCAATGCCAAACATCCGGGAAAAATAAAACCACTGTCTCCACATGAGCTGGAACTGTACGCCCCTTGTGGGTCTCCTCAGGGCGATGGTAGCGAATCTCTGCAAAACGGTACCTGTTGCAAGGGAAGAAGCATGTTGGAAAAAAAATTCTACAATACATTTTAAAAAGAGCCTAGATCACTTGTAGCACATCAAGTAAAGAAACTTTGCTGCAAGACCTTGAAGTTTATCTAAAGAAAAAAATTATGGAAGCCATATTTTCTCTTTCGGCACGTTTGTAAAACGTATCACACTTGAAAAGGAGGAAAATCCACAAAATTCTTTTTATGTAACTTGTTGTTTAGCACATAGGTTTAATGCGCAAATAAAAGTGTTAAAGCACTTTAAATTTAGCATCCAATAGACTTTCCTCATATTAGTAAAACTTCAGTGAGTGTTAACACAGAACAAAATCTCAGCAAGAGAAAGTATGGCTATATAATGAACGGCTATTCATTTATAACAAAAGAACAATGAAATGAAGTTCTCTTGACGATCTTCTCCAGCTATGCACAAAATGAAAAATATTTTCAATGCACATTCATAAAAAAATTACAGCATAACACATCAAAATAAATCCAGAATTTTTAATTAGTTCTTAATGCAGTATTCAGCACAGTTGGCACCAATCAAGCTTATTACAAATCAGAACATCCTTTGAGTAGTTTACCTGCACTACCAAGAGCAGCCGACAAAGAAAAAAGTTTTTCCATTTCTTTTTCTTTCTTTTTTTTTCTTTTTTTTTTAAAACTTGGGGTAACAGACAAGTATTGCTAAAGTGGACTTTGCTTTGCAGTACAGTACTTACCATTGTGTGCACACACTTAAGTCAATCCCTGTAAGAGCCTTGCAACAACGAATAGCCGTCTTTATCAGCACGGAAGGGTCCTTTTCTGGATCAGGTCCATCCAGTGATGGGGACCAGTGTCCTCCAATTGCCATAGCTTCATCTTTGCCTTTCATACCCACTAAAAACTAGACAAAAAGAGTCTTCTGAATGTTCCCCTGCTAGGGATAGAGTCTCATTTTCCATAAGCACAAATAATACTTCATAGAACACACTGAAATCCGTGAGTAAGCTACCACATTATTTTGAAATCTGAAAGTGAAAGTCAGTCAAGAAAGAGTTCAGTTATTTTTTTTCCACACATTATTTCAGTAATGGAATAGGTTTAAAACATCATCACTCATTCTTGCTTGCAAGACTTTCCATCATGTTTTGCTTTACTGGTATAAGGCTTGCTCCTTTGCAATTAAAGCTTTCTAACACAGAAGACAAACAGCTACTCATTTTAATGGCGCCTTAATTCCAACACACATTTATAGAAGTTCCTGTTCAAAAGTAATAAAGCAAAGCTACAAAAAATAAGACAAGAACATTATAAATTCAAGTACTTCCGTTTACTTTAAAACAATAGAGTTTAATTGGAAAACAAGACTGTGATGTCCTGAAACACCACAACACTTATTGTTCGGTTTTTAACAATAGTTAAATTTCACTTCATACAATGGTTATTTAACTGTTGCTTCATTCGTATGCTCTTCACAGCTGTACCCTTAAAAAAATAGTCTAAGTGCTTGTAAAAAGACTAACAAAGTTAATAATATAATATAGGTTTCTCCAAATATCTACTGTTTTGATTTTAAGTTGAGCATGCAGTAAATATTAAAGCAGTGAAGATGGACCTCCTATAAACTGGAAAAAGGACTGACACATAAACTAGGCCGCCTCAGAGGGAAAACGAAGCCATCATTTAGCTGCCTACAAACTCCTCCCTTATTGCCAAGTATTTTAAAGGTCTATAACCAACCTTTATTGCCAAAAGTGTCTGGCATTGAAGCATATTTACCTTTACAAGTCTAGCGGGATGCTGAAATCCATCACGAAGTTCTTGGGGATCTTCAGCCAGAGCGCATGACTTGTGATAGAGATCTTCCATACTAGGACTAGCCATCAACATCACCTGTTGTGTAAGTCAGATCAGTCTTGTGAAGGTTTCCCACTATGACTGGTAAACTATGACCACTTGCAAACACATACATACCAGTACTTTTTCCTTAATGTTACAAAAAATCAGAACAAATAAAGGTAAAATAAAATTGTAGAACTGAGGATTAAAATGTCTGCCACAGACCAATTTCTCTACATCACATATGGATGCAGTGTGGGATCTTCAAACCAAACCAAACCAAACTGAATGCAGATAAAAGCAACATGCTTTGCATGTTATCGCTATATGCCAAATAACCTATACCAGGAAGCACACTGAGTACATTTCTGGTTTTGGTAACGTACTCCTTCCATTTTATCACAGTCACAAGGCAACTGACCAACACATTGCTCTGCATCCTCAAAGCATCCCATTACCCCAGTCAAATCTAACAAGGTTGCTGTATATCCTAAACAAGTTAGTATTATGAAATGGGATGCTATTCCTCAGTTACTAAATACATTTTGAAGTTTGACCTTCTGAAAGAGAGGTCTTGCTCTGCATCAATAGACTGAAAAAAAACAGTATGTCTGAAACTTGCCCCAAGGCTTCAAAAATTATATACACAGAAGGTAAGAAAAGTGAAGTTTTTCAGAAATACAGGGGTTAAAGGCAGTTGTGTTTCTAAAACTGTCTTTCAATGAAATACACTTCTAAAACAGATTGACCTAGAATCTCAGACCTATTTTAGTAAAAGTTTTAGGAAGACATTTTGACACTGAGGTCTTTTATACATCATTACAGCCCTTGATGCAGCATTTTTTGACATTCAGATAATCCCCATATGATCAATCTACCTTCCACAAAATAATATTGAGAGGAATCTGAAAGAAGAACAAAAATCACTAAACAGAAGAGCACAAACTGCACAAAAGGGACCCTTGAAGGAATAAAAAAGGGGCTCCGTTAACTATTCAGAACAAATCACCTAAGAATAACATTCAGACATCTTGGAGGAGCTGACTTTCTCTCCTATAATCAGATCAGTGCAACTGGGTGCAGAAAATGGAAGAGGCCTCAGTAAAAATATTTAGGACAGCTCTAGATAGAGAAGAACAAACTCAATTGCAGTCATGATTCTTCAAGCACTACATACTAGCTCTTTATTGAAAGGTTTAAAACCACTGTATTTTGCTCAAATTGTAGAATATTTTAAGTTCAGTTAAATTCACTTTTTCACCTTCTTGGTAAAAAAACTTCTAACGAATAGTCAAAATACTGGAAATCCATACAAACCTTTGCGCTGTACAGATGATCAGCATCAGGTGGATCAAGGACAGCACCGTTTTTATCTATAGGATCTACTTCTCTATGCATTACATAGAAATTACAGTAGTTTCCCAGCTGAAATGGTCTAGACATAGGAAAAGCATCCACCCATGTAAATTGAGCATCAAAGAAATCACTTGGGATATACAAGTTCTGGTAACGCCTCCTCAGCTCCATCATATCGCAGCTACGGCTGAAATAAACAATAGTATTTGAAAGATAACAGCAATAAAAGAACCATTAATAAAGGCACATAATTAAGAGGCATATTAATTGGAAATGCAGCTATTGTGTGTTTATTACTGTATGTATGTACATAAAATGTAAAGAGAAATATCTGAGTGTCATAGCTTAAAATCAAGTTAACAACCAAGTACTCCTGATTAAGGTGTCTGTGTATTAGGGAATATTTATAAAGGTATGCAGCAGCATGAAAAAATAACCACCTAGAAAACATTTATAGTAAAAGGTTCTCAGCTAGTACATATCTGATATTTCCTTAAGGTTAAGATCATAATTTAACACTCGCTACACACACGCGTGTTGATAAAGCTCACAGTAATCTGAGCCCACAATTAAAGTGAGATATAGGTAAACATCTGGCACTATAAACATACCAGTCCAATGAAAACTTGGAAAACTGAACCGTGTAACGAGGAACAACACGTCGTGGTCTTCGAGGTGACCTCTCCCTCTCTCTTCTAGGCGACCTCTCTCTGGAGCGTTTTCTCTGGGGTGACCTTTCCCGGGACCTACGTCTCTCTCGTTCTCTTTCGCGACTTAAAAAAAGCACACAAGATACAAATATTTTTGCATGCTGGTAACACAAAATGGTTTCCAGCACAACAGAAGCTAGACAACTCATAAAAAAGAGAGAAGTTCCTCAGAGTTTCAGAACACTGTCTCTTTACAAGAGAGACTGATCGTGCAATTCCTTCATTTCAGATCTAATATCTAATTTCAGATCTAGTACCTAATGTTAAAGCCATTTGTGCATATCACTGACTCACAATAGAGCAAGCTCAGCTCTGTTTGCAGACAGGTCTTTACAGAATGCTTTGATTGTAAGTCTAGTCTTCTACAACATACCTCCTGTCATCTTTTCGGTTTGGCATAGGGTCTCCTCCTCTGTCATTCCTCCCAGAAAATCTGGATGGTGGGTCTAATCTTCGAGCTGGTTGAGGCTGTGAAACTAGACGAACAGGGGGCTGTAACAAACCACCTGAAACAAAAATTTAAGAGATGATTAATACATAAAAGAAGACTAATACATAACAGGGGGCAACTATCTACACTTTACAAACATTGCTGCTTTACAGTTGTTTCACTTGTGTACATTTTCTAAACTAACTCTAGAGTCAAATAAATCTACTTAGAACACCGACCCCAAGAAACTCAAGAGACCTATGCTTTTATTCACCGATTCAAACTGAGATACTAGTAAGTGAAACTGGCTTAAGAGCATCTTCTTTTCTTTGAAAGATCTTCTTAAGAAGCTAATATAACATAAGCACATAGAAGCTATAGCTAAGCCTCTTCATTGAAAAGTCACTTGCTTTAAGTTAGATAACTACCTACTCACTGAACTAAAGAAAACATAAAGCTTGATTTTCAGGCTATTGATAGGTAAAAACAGTTAGCTTCCTGAAAAATTATTCTTCAATCAATTTATTACACTGCTGCACAATTCCCTAGCACATACTTCTGTTGTCTCAAGGTATTTAACCAACTGATTGTAAATGGAGCAAACATTACTAAACATCAACTAGGACTAATTAGATTGTAATAAGCATTTATCCAAAACAGTTCTGCTTTGGTGATAGCTTAAGATCATCTCCCTTTGCTTCTACTATGGCCAAGAAAAATTTTCATTTTATCTTATTATCAACTCTCTTACTGCTTCTTCAGCCATTCAAAGTTCAAGTGACCCCACAACCTTTGTTTTAGGTTTTTCATGTTTGTCAGTATTTCTTCTCTCAAATTCCAACTTAGCTAATAGAACACAGATATAGAAATAACAGTTCTAACAACACAACTGTGTGAAATATAAATGTAATATATTCTAATATAAGAATTATTACATTGATTTTGCTTTTGGATTATGAACAGAAGTCCATGGGGACTTCACTACCAGGTGACTCTTGAGCTATTGTAGGCAATGTGCCTTGCATGTAGCTGCAGGAAGACACATATTCAAACTGAAAATTTAATAGGGTCATTTCCATATTATTTAAACTATTACTTCAGTCTTCTGACTAACAAAACAAATAATCATCACACACTAAGCACTAAAAGGACCACACAAACTTTGCGTGCTGAAGGGGCACCTTTCTGCTGTGGCTGCTGCAGTAATGGCTGAGGTTGTGTCTGAAGCAAAGGTGTGATTGAAGCTGCTGATATCTGTGCCTGCAACAAGGACTGTGGCTGCGGCTGTGCCTGAACACTGAATGCAGTCTGCTGTGCAATGGGCTGAAGAACTGCTGGAGGAGTCTTCAGTAACGGCTGAGCTTGTGTCTGGTTCTAACAGCAGAAGAGAAAACAAATTGTGAGTGAGCTTAAACTAGAAGCAGTCAGCACAAGTTAGACCAGGTAACCCCACATACCTGATTTGGAAGTGTCTGGATCCTTTGTGCATTCCATTTGAACGGCATATTAGGATTGTAAGTAGCTTCTACCAAAACTCTGTCACCCACCTGAGGTGTCTTTCCTTTAACAGCACTGTAAACATAACAAAATGTATTGTCTAAGGCTTATTTAGCTAATTTTACATTTGCAAGTTACCTTTAGAGATGAGAGAAAGTATAAAAAGTTCATTAAAATAAAAAAAGCTTACAGGAAGAGCATTTACCCCCAAATTCAGTGAAAGTTCTACCTGCTTCAGCTCAGAGTATGCACAGGAATTTAATTCCCATCTTTGGCCCTAAAGTTCCCTAGCCAGTACTAAGTGAAGACAGGCAGATAGCAAGATATATGCATTTAATCACATACAAATTCTACAATTTCATATTCTAAGGAGCTTAATACCTTCCAAGACTCCTAGCTTTGGGCTTTGTATTAAGAAAATTCAAAAATTCACATAAAGGAACTCAGTCTATTAACTTATTTGACTATCTTACTTCCAGTATTAGCAGAAAACAATGTACTAACTGCAGGCACTATCGGTAGAGTAACAGAATGTAATAATCGAAACCTTTTATTTAGTGAGGTACCCCAGAGTACTTCTGTAGGCAAGTATTATATCTTACCTAAGTTGAAAAAAGACATCTTCATCCACAAAACCAAATGTATCATGTAGTTTAGTAACTACCCCAGTGAAGACACGCTGCTTTTGTGGCTGGGTTTGTTGTTGGCTTGACCGAGGTGCTGGATAAGAAACAGTTATCTGGGCTGCCGGTTGAGGAGTAGACAGGCTAAGACTGGTAGGTAGTGCAACAGCTGGCTGTAAGCAAAATAAAGCAAACTATAAATCTTATAACCAGCTAGCATACCTACAAGGAACAGTTCCTTTACCCATGTAGGTAGGAGTTTAAAATATCTCTAAAGCAATTATTCTGAATGGAGATTTTCAGAAGGTGGAAGTGTTGTTTGTAGATGACTTTTTTCTACTTTGAATGAAGACTGATTTTGTTTATCCTTTTCTTCTAAAAAAGTCAACTTCCCCAAAGTATGCACAGTCTGGGAGGGGTGGGGGGGTGGAAGAAAGAGTAAAGACTGCATTAGGGCTTACAGGTAACCCATACAATGGGCCTGAATAGGAGATCAGTTTCTAGCTTTGCCAGGAATACATGCTTAGGGCTTATTCTCCATTTCTATCCCAACTGTAGTGTTACAAGTCAGTAAAGGCTGAGGCTAACACAAACCCTTCCCTAACTCAGTAATTCAAGTGCTTGCCTTCTTAAAAAAGTAGAACATGGTAAGATAGTGTAGGGTTGGTGTATTTTTTTAAAAGCATGTTTAAAAGGTTAAGTTAAAATGAAAGGAGAGCAACTTAGTGTGTTAAATTGTTGCAAGTTTTAAACCTGTCAAACTGAGAAAGATTGTTTTTAAACCTGTCTATATACCTACTGCAATACAGTTAAAACAGAAGGTTAAAATTCCTTCTCAAAGGTAAGATTTTCCCAGTTGGTTACTCACTGCAAAACAGCCAAACACTTGAAGTTCAAACAAAAAAAACCAAAAAAACAAAAACCAAAAAACATAATCAACATACATATTCCCTTCAAGATTAAGGAAAAGTGGTTGCTACTAATTTTTGAAACCAAGGCAATGCATATTTTAACATCTGGATAAAATAAATCTGTACAAATTAAATGTCCATTTATATTAGTTCATTTGACAGATTAAAACTACTCATGACTTCACAAATTTGCACTATTGAATTATCTGTGTTTGGGGATGAAGACCAAACAATAAAACCAAACTAACCTGAGTTAAAAGGGTCTGCTGAGGTTGCTGCAACTTAAAATAAATAAAGTTATAAATTAATTTTATTTGCTTAAGGAAAGTGTACAATTTTACCTCCTCTTTACAAGTAAGAGTTTTTACTTAATCTGTGTCAGTTAATAGTCCTTTGCCGTTTGGTCATTTCAGCAGTTTGCATATGCATAAAATTGTGCTCATGTGGTTAATTTTAAGGTTGTATAATCCAGGTTTATTCAGTAAGCAGAAATGCTGGGGGTTTTGTAACTGAAAGATAATAGCAATACCAAAAATGTTTTGGCAGTTGAAAAAGCTTAAGTCTGTAATTTCCATGTCCTTTTATTCTTTTTCAAAACCTTGTTAAGTTCAAAGACCATAAAAAACCAAACCAACCAAAAAAAAAAACCAAAAAGCAAAAAAACCCAAAAAACAAAAAGCAAAACACCAAACCAACCAACCAACCAAAAACGTAAAAAAGGAACTTTTTGTGGACAGCATCTTTCCAGCAGTTAAAATACATGGCCCTGTTTAGAGTGAAGTTTAGCAGGAATCATGTAACATGGAATAGTATATATTTTAAATTTCCTTTTTGGATGAAGGTAGGCAGGCTTCCATTCTGGATACTTCTCTCCAAGTTAATGAACTTCAAGCTCTCTTTCACTACAATAAAGTGTTACTTAGTTTCTTTAACAACTTCCCATACAAGGATGATTTCAGAGACAAATCCTACAAGACACACAATGAACGTTACTTTTCAAGTTATTTGTGATGTACACAGTAAGAATCACACAAACCTGTTGCTGTACACTATAGAGAGTCTGCTGAGGTTGTGAATATTGCTGAAACAGATAAAAGCAAAATATCTCATAAACAGGAAGTATTATTACCCCAATAACATCAAATACAAGTTACCTGCTAAGCAAGTTTTAGCTAGAAACTAGTAACATTTAACAATTCTAATACAAAACATAACTAACAGTATCAACATATTACTTTCATAACAAATATTTCTGGCCTTTACAGTGGATTCTGATGTACTCTTTCTAGCTAAAATCACTAATTTTTGTTAAGCCTGACACTTAGGACAGTATCCAGGGCACAGCATGAAATCATGCAATATGCTATGAAAGATACATACAGTGATGGAAGATAGCTGGAACTCTAGATTCTTGGCTTAGGTGCAGCAGAACTCCTTTTCCCAAAAGGCTTTCCATAGCTAAAAGTCAGCACCTCCACAGCCAAAATTCCCACCTTCACAGACTAATACAACTATTGATAGCTGTAGACCTAAAATCCCACTGTTTTTTAAACCCCCTGATACTGCAGTGTTCACCATTTCCCATTCTGCTTTTCTCCTGGATACTTCAGCTTTATAAAGCCACAGTATTAAATTGTTAAAGTTCATACAGTCAATAGCAAATGCTTTTTCTTTACCTGCTGTAAAGCAGCTGCTGCAGCTGCAGCTTGCTGCTGTAAAGCAGCTGTCTGAGTTAGCTGATAGTTCGTTGGTGTTTGTGTAGTCAGGCCTGCTGCTGCCAATGCTGTCTGCTGGGTGTATATTGTAGGAGAGGCTCCAAGCAGCGATGGCTGCTGTACGCCAAGAGCAGCTGAAAAGAGAACACATTCAATAAGCACCAAGCGCAACTTCAAATAGCTGAGTTTTCTGACAGAAGAGATGCAGTATGTGATGCTTCACTCCTGAGTCAAGCTCATAAAGCACAGAAATCCAATTCCAAAATTCAAGGTAAAGTTTCACACCTCACTAGCTTTTCTTCTACATTAATTTACAAACAGTACGTCACAACAGAGGCACAGAGACCACTTAATTTCCTTCTCTCAAGTTGCTCGTAAGTTCATAGCTCTACAAGTTGTCATCCCCATCTGCACCCACCCTTAAGACATACACACACTATATTCTTTCTTGAATGTATTTCAGGTTGTAGATGAGGCGGGGAAGATTTTTTGCTCTGTTCTGTAAATTAATACATTTAATTCTATCTGAGGACAAAAGAAATCTTTACTGTAATAGCAGCTGTGAATCAGAGGCTTGTGGAACATGTCCTCTAAAAATGCACAAGGCTTTGCTTCACTCAGTATTGCCTTTGTCCCTGCGAGATCTAGATTTTGTACATATAGGGCTGGTAGCGAAGGAACAGCCTTATAACAGGGAGTTTAATCAGTCCCCATATATAGAGGGAGCAAGTCAAGCTCTCCCCAGCTCTTACAGGAAATGGTTTGTGCTGCCCTGACTCAAACTACCTGGAAGGACAGAATAGTTTATTTTATTGTCATATCAGCTTTTAATTAACTGCAGAAGATTAAGCAAATCACGAGGAGCAGCTACCCACATGCTATGCTTCTTATGCATGCAGTATTTTTTAACAAGATACGCTCAAGCCTTAGAGACAGAACTTTTCAGGACAAAGAGCCCTGCACAATGCAAATCTGAGTGAAGAACTGCAAGTGTATCTGGAAACCTGCTCCCTCTTTGGCAGGAGTTTTAAAAAAAGTTATCTGCAGCTGCATGAGCAAATATCACTTCATCAAGCTAACAGTCTAGTCCACATGCTTAAATAAAGCCAAAGAGAAACTCAGCAGGGAAACATACTGCCAGCAAAACCAGGTCAGCCAGCCACCTTCAGAACTAAAGAACATTCGAGTCGAATAAAGTTCCTTTCTCTTCCAAAGCCATTAGAGGCACAACAAAATGAAGAACAGATTTACAGTATTCTTCCTGCGGAGTTTATGCCCCATACTATTCTTACTGATCTAAAATGAAGCTGTCATTCCTGACCCAAGGATACACTAAGAGATTGCTTGTAGTTGCTGATTATCACCACAGAATATACAAAAATGCTGTATCCATCTCAACGGACCCTGGATAATGTAATCTTATCTACTACACTGTTCTTACCAGCAGAATACAATCTTCAGGAAACAAGTTGATGGCACTGATCTTACATGCATCTTACAATTTGGGAATGAAACATGAATGAAATATATGAAAAACAGTGAAAATCACCATCGCTGTGATCTGCATTAAATATTGTCACATAAAATAGTATTACTTCCTGGAATACTTACAAGTGAAACCAAGCATTCCCTAGCACAGTATTCCCAGTATTACATGAATTCTGCCCCTGGAAAATTCCAACATTTGGGTTTCTTTAGAAGCCAAAACTGAGGCTTCTTCCATGATAGGCCCTCCACATTCTTGATCCTCTTCCCTCCTGCTTGTCCATCAGCTCCAGTTTGAATGTGCATTTTTGACCATCCAGAAACAGACTCTCATCTGGAACCTTACCAGTACCTCCTTAAACAGACCTTTAAGTCTAATAAAAAGACTTCGCTGCTGCATCCTGGGACAACTTTCACTTTTCTTGGATAAACTACTAATGCACTGGTTATTTACCTTAAATCTTTGTCCTCTTATTTCCACATGCTAAGCAGAAATTCATATTAGCACTGAAATTCATTCACTTCATGCTATTACCTCTGAATGTGTTTGACTATGCTAGCTATTGCCATTCAGTCTGATGCTCTTTTCTAATGTTGTTCCAACACAGAGAAATGGAGTTGGGAAGTGTCGTCAAGCAAGTTTCACAAGCTCTCTCCTACATTTTGTACCAAGGACATCCACAAACAAAATATGCTTGCTCCCAAAACCAGCTCTTGGGGTTACTCCGCTCTTCATCTACCACCATGACAATTTCCCTTCCAGCAAACCCCATAATTTTCTCAAACGATTCCCAGCCCACCCTAAGAGTCTTAGCCCATTTTGTCCATTGGGG